GGGGGCTGGTGTATATGCCATCATATCGTAGGATGCGTTTTATCTCCTTAGCGATATCCCTGTGTATGAGCGTAAATTTGTTTACTGACTAGTCCCTGAAGTTATATATATACTCGCTCAGCAGGTTGCTGCCGTGCAGTCCGGCATATTTATAGCGGTATATACATCGTGGTGCGTATACATCAGCGAGTTCAGAGCTGGTGATCTGGGCTGCTGTGGTTGGGCGGTTCATCCAGTCGATAGCATTCATACAGGCCTTCGTCAGCCTGGTCGTGTTAAAGACCTCTCCCGCTTCGCCACAGTCAAGAGGGGATACTGTAGTTGGGGTTTGTGTTAATAGTACTGTTTTTACCCGCTTGGTTTATGGATTCCAAAGCGTACACAGACTTTGATAGCTGGGTGTATATCGGTTATACCCTTGTCCGTTGGGACCAGGGTTATTATTCAGAAGGATTCCCATGGGTTACGGATAATTGAGTAACGGTAAGGGAAGGGATAAGGAAGTAAGGGATCTTCTGTACCTTACTTGGAATTAGGAAAGAGGGAGTGTTCATATAGGAGTAATCTCTCGGGGTTAGGCAGTTGGGGATATAAGTAGTCTCTGTAATCACTCTTCCCTGCTTTAACAGGGAGATATATATAATATAACGCTCTTTGGAGGTATTTCCAGTGCCAACAGTATCATTATAGGAACAAGCAATTTCCAAAGCTGCTGTTCAAAGCATACGAAAGACAATAGCGTCATTGTATCACGCTTTATACACGGTTCTATAGTATAGGACCAGGGCCCACAGGAAGAATATACCTCCCTGAGCGCTTAGAAAATCCTATCTCTTCTTCTTCTTTACCAATATGTGGCTGCTATACAACCACTGATCAGTATTAGAAGGCTTTTCTAAAGCGTACGCTGTAGAGTAGATAGGTTAAAAAGTGGTTGATTGAGTTACAATCCTAGCCACAGAAGGGAACCGGTTATAAAGTCGGTTCCGGAGCGGTCCTACCTTAGTAAGCCGCTTTGCTTCTCACTTCCAGCCAGTGACCGCTGGGTAGGGGTATTTAGTATACTGGCAATATATAAAATAACTTTTAAAAGTTACCTTAGTAGTAAGAGCTGGTAGTATCTTCTAACTAATAACACTATAACTAAAGCCCCTTATAGGTCATCGATCGCGATATCAGCATCAGTCAGAGGGAGGAATTACAGCCAAGCTGTACTGTTAAGACCAGTAACTAGAATCAATTGATATATATTTAGTGCTTAGTTAGGTACTCCTGCAATTGATCAATTGAATAAGACTATCCTGGTCTTTATACGAGCTAAATTAGCAACAGAATAATAAGGTAAAGACCATAATTCTAAGAATAACTAATAAGTAAACGGTAAGAATTATTGATTCCCAATCTAGCTGGGCAGCTAACCCAGCTTAAAACACCAGCAGCATTAGAACCCTGCTAACCCTAGGAAATTATATACGCTCTCAGTAGTATAGTTATTTCTTTTTATAATTTATTATAATAATTACCCTAGTCTGGTACAGGCAGACAGGCTACTTAGACAGACCCCTCTAACTAAATCTAGTATAATTCTTTTCAGTTATAGTAGATTTTTTTTCTTTTTTATATATAGCGTATTCTTACTATTATATATCTAAAATAGCTTTCAAAAGTTACCCAAGTATTATACTTGTTTTTCTAGAATTTATTATACTAATAACCCCAGTCTAGTACAGGTAGACAGACTACTTAAACAGATATCTCTAACTGAATCTAGTATAATTCTTTTCGATTACAGTGGGTTTTTTTTCTTTTTTATATAAAGCTTATTCTTACTATTATATATCTAAAATAACTTTCAAAAGTTACCCAAGTAGTATAGTTGACTTTCTAGAATTTTTATACTAATAACCCCAGTCTGGTCGGGCGGGAGGGGTTACTTGGGATAGGCCCGACAGACCCTTCTAACTATATCCTATATATATCTCTTCAGCTGCAGCAAAGATTAATCTTTCTTTTGATCAATTAGCTTCTATTTATACATTTGCAAGTACCAGCGGGGTTTTCCAGAACAACACCACAACCGTGCCCGTGAGGGTCGGTAGTGGCGATGCCAGCGCTAGTCGAAGGAAGGAACTCCAGCCAAGTTAACGGTCGAAACCAACAACCACAGGTAAATACAATCACTCCAGTCTTTCCCGAGAACCGCAATCATTTGATCAATTGAATCTCCGACAGATAGCTGGGCAAATGACTTTATTAGCAAGCCAGGACCTAATATCGAGACCGTAGATACTAGCAGGCCATCATAGGGGTAGCCAAAGCTAACGAGGCCGTGGTTTTACATGCGCAGGGTCTTATTACCTGCTTCAAGCAGCCCGGGGCTACAGATGTTGATTGCAATTGCATTCATAAGGGCCGGGGTGGATAGGATCAGACCTCCCTGCTCGAAGCCGCTCAAGACTGCAGTAATTGATCGCATTTCTTAGCATCACGGTCAGCGAGTGTAAGGAGGGGTCTGACTGACCTGCCTGTTGCTGCAGCTGTTGGTCCTCTCCGCGAGACGCGGCATCGATAGGATCACACTTGCCTGCCTGAGACAGCTTGCAGCTTCAGCTATTGATCGCATTCGTGAAACTTCCCTAACGAAGGCCGCTCGAGTATGCGGCTGTTGATCGCATTGACCAGCATCGAAGCAAACACGATCCGACTTACCTGCTCAAGGCTGCAGCTGTTGATCACACTCATAAAGTTCATAACATACGCGCATACAAAGCCTACGAAGCAAACTTCCTCGCCACGCCACGAAACGCCGTCCCCGTAAGCTTACGATAACATCAACAAAGACGGGATGACCCGAGGTCTATATACCATTCGCTGATTGTTTGGAAATCCAGCAGCTAATAACCGTCAACATATGGAGTGACATGCAGTCATTCAAACGCATAGAGCTGGGAGCTGCACCCAACCGCTGACGGGGTCGGTCAATACCTTCTTCTTCTCAGCTTCACCTAACAAAGAAAACACTGTACCTGCAGAGAGCTGGTACTTGAACAGTAGAAACCTCTTTGAGCCTCGGCCTGGATGGAGATACGAGAAGATACGGGAATAATAGTATAGGTGTAGGGTAGGAGAGGCCTGATGCATTCTGTTTATACTGGCAAGGTGCAGGTGCATGGTAGAGGCCGCTTATACATGGAGGCCAGACCTTGAGAGAACGAGGAAACTGCTTCGCTACGAAGGCAGGAATTACACCACCTTCTTGTCGAGATATGCATTGTGCATCGGCTAACACGGCTGTCTACCGCCGTGGACTGCAATATCCCGTCTGCTGCTGTCACAAACGACCGCTGCGTAGCTGACCAGCCCGTCCTTTAATCGCCGTGGCCCCCAACAAAACCAGTCTTCGCAAAACGGCGTGTTGTTGCGAAGTTGACCTTGAGGACTGCTCTACAAATATTGACTGGTATTTACCTCTTTGAGATACAGGACTATGATACTGAGTGCCCGTGGAATTTTCCAACTAATAACACCACAGCCAAAGACCGGGTGGGTCCGCGATCGCGATCTCAACGTCGGTCAAAGAGGAGGAATTGCAACCAAGCAGCGTAGTCAAGGCTAACAACCACAATCAATTGCACATGTGTTTGGTGTTTGGTGGGTGACTCCCTCATTTGATCAATTGAATCGGACCATCCAGGTTATTATACGAGCCAAGCTGGCCGCAGAATAACAAGATAAAGATCACGATTTCAAAAATAAAGAATAATTCAAGAGTAAAAGACGACCTTCATTTTGGAAGCAGCAGTCAGCTGCTGCTTAAGTAGTGAACAGTAAACCGCTCCAACTAACAGAGGTACATTACCTACGCTCTCGACACTCCCTATAGAAGTAGGGAAAATCTCATCATTGTCAGGTAGAATCGAGCAACTGGTGGTCTTTGCGTGCCGAGCAACGTGCGTTCCTGTACAACCGGGAGGTTGAAGCCGTGTTGGCGGGGAAGAGGGAGGAAACTGGCTGTACTGTGAGGCCTTGTGCCGTTCATAGAAGAGAGGGCGCGACCAGGAGGGACACGGAGGAGAATGACTGCCTCGAGCAGACGTGGGAATTCGAAAGTCCGGCTCGCGTCTGGCTGCCACATGTGGTCTGATGCCGTCGAAGGAGCGTAACTGTAATCGGGAGGTATACGGAAGAGAACGACTCACTCGAGAGGATTTCCTGGAACCCGATTGTCTGGCTTGCGTCTGACTGCCACGTGTGGTCTTATGCCGTCGAAGAGGTGTAGCTGCATTCGGGAAGGGTGCAGAGGGAAGATGACTGAGGTAGCTCGAAAGGACTTGGGCTGTCGTAAAGTCCGGCAGGCGCCTCACTGCTACACATAGTCTTATGCTGTCGAGAGCGTAAGACGAGATAGGGACGGACGATAGAGGAAATCAAGGCTCATGTTCGCCCTTGGAGAGGCTGGGTGGTGCAACTGCCGCTTGGGAGAGGAGGATGTCTGTGTGTTTCTTGTTGTGATACTGACCCTGGCGTAGGAAAGGAGGCTGCAGAGGTCTGCTGAAATGGGCGTGGGCGGGAAGTGCGAGATGTGTGACTGTAATACTCGGGAGTTGAAGGGGCAAGCACTGCCTTCGTGGTAGGAGATTGCTGTTTCCAACGCGCCCCCGCGAATCCGGACTGTAGGCTCGCTACTGGTTCGATCCAGTTCCATTCAAACCTGGAAGAAAATAAGGGCTGGAATGTATCTTGGGCGCGACTGGGGTTATACTGGTGATTTCCAGGCAAGAATAGCTGCTGCATGATCCACGATAGGACCGGATGCACTTCTACATCACATAATCCGAAGCCATGCTGTTGGCTCACGAGTGATTCCATGGATCTATTCTCTGGGGCTAGCTACAGCTCCGCGGGCTGCATTGTCGTCATATAACGCTACTACTAGTCATCATACTCTGTGCTACTGATATTCACCCTCGCCAACGCCCCAGGGCTCGCCTCGCCCAGGCCTATTCCCACTTGTCCATCACGGCCTTGATCATCTTCTGGAATTCCAGTGCCTTGCTTGCACTGTGCGTCTGATCCCGCCAGAGGAAGGCGTGCTCCTCGCTCTCGGGCGACCCCAGGTTTTTAACATCTCGCTCCAGTGCATTAACGACGAGGTCTTGGAGACGCCGCACCTCGGGACGGTAACTCTGCCTGAACGAGAGAATCTATTGGCTCCCGCACTTGTAGGCCAACATATCGCCTTCCTCCATATCCCCCAGGATGCACAGATGGAGGCGGCGGGCGTCCTCCAAGTCTTCCCGTCCACCCTCGAAGTGATCGGGATAGATGATTGTACGCTTCTTGACCTGTCCTGCCTCGTTGACCCACTCGTCTTCGATACGCCGGTCACACGCTTCCTCGAGCGCTCTCATGAGATTCTTCTGTACAGCCACCATGGTTTCATTGTACCGAACCTCCTCGGGCGTGGAGGCGCAGCGGTGGACCTCGGGCTCCTGTACTCCAGGCATTCTGTGACTCGTCAGCATGCTATTCCTGGTAGGAGAGGGTAGAAACCACCGACCTTGTGCTTGCGGATACGTCGAGGCTGCTGCCGCGGACTGGTAGCAGGGAGAGAAGTGACCGAGCGGCTGCAGTGTGTTTGGTTAGCAAGACTCTCTTAGAACTACAGCCTGATCGGCCTCGTTGGTGAGGCTTCTACTTACGGGGAATCAAACGATCGGTTGAGTGAATCGTGGCCGGCGGGTGGCAATATGGTGCTGAGAGAGTATTAGGTGGGAGGGCGAGGGAGGGTTTAAGATGACGGGGAGCGGTGTATCGGTCGCCGAGGGTAGCTATGATGTTCAATAAAGATGCTGGAGTGAAAGCCGGGTGAGGAGAGGAGGCCACGAGGTCGAAACGAGAAGAGGTGGTGAAGTTGAGGAGTTGCAGAAGGGCAAGTGTTTGGTTCGTAGCCTGATTAATAACCCTGCGCCAAGACAATACTAGGAAGCCGGCCACGAGGGAAGGAGCGGCACACAGGGCAGGAAGCACTGCTCCTGCAGGCTGCTGGCGAAGAGAGATACGCTCCCTGGGCTGATTCAAATAATCCATCTATGAGTTTCCTTGTGGAAAGCTAGGAGCTAGGGCGGCTCGCATTTCGATGTGCACCTTGTGCGGGCATGATGGTTGGAAAGTATGTGCTAAGCATCTCCATAAGAAGTGCTGGCAGGGTTTCCCAACCGATAATACTATAAACTGTGGCTGCGGGAGGTTGGTGATCGCTTCATATTGCCAGCACTGGTCGAGGGGGGGGGGGGGTTTGGCAGCCAACCTGCGCATTCAGAGCGATGACCATACATCAATACCATATGCTGAGTACGTGGCTAGGATGTTCTGCATTTGATCAAATGAATGAGACCATCTATATCTCGCCATGACCCGGATTGGAGGCAGCATCGCCAATTGAGGCTTATAATACTGAGGGCGAGGCGGAAGCAGGAGGCAGCGAATTTTGGATTCCAAAACTGGCCGGCCGCCGAGCACAGCCTGGACCCTACACATACACAGTCTGAGCCAGGCGAGAGCAGGGCCTTTCGATTTCCTATTGCCCCAACTCACTCGCACGCCCTGGTACGGGAGGCAGAGCAGGATGCGGCAGAGCCTGGCGAAGGCCTGCGGTAACCACCTAGGTAGTGAGAGGCTGCCTTCGTTCCTGAAGCATGAAAGCCAGCCTTTGGCCGTAGACGTGGGGAATGCAACTCGCGACCTTTCATGCCTGCTTCTATCCTACCTGCGCGAGTGATGCTTTGCAAAGTGCCTTGGCAGGCTCCTACGGCTAATGTGCTATGAGCGATCAATTGATCAAATGAATGCCATTCACACCAAACACACAGCCAAACCAAACGCCGTGTTCTGAATGTGTTTTGGTTTTGCCTCCTCGTTGAGAGGTCGACCACAGCCAGCCTGACCCTGGCTACGAGTGGTGGAAAGCCACGAACCTTGCAGCAACCACTACGTAGATACCAATGTCACGCATCCGCCTGCCGTAGAGGAAGCAAAGGAAACCGCCCTGGGGCCTCGGCCGAAGCTGTATTACTACCCTGCTTTCGAGCTACTTAGTACGTATACATAATACCCCCGGCCTCCCCATCCATCCATTACCAGATCAACAGCAAATAAGTCCCAAAGAGGAACGGGGGAGCAGCAGTCGGAACGAGGCAGTATCTGGCTTGGTCTACTAAATGCCTCTGAGCTGCGGGTTAACCGTAGGACCGCCAGATCAAGCCCGGGGGCCGCGGCACTGTCTGAGCAGGATACTTATTGCCGGCATATCCTCATCGTGAAGCGCGTCCTCGTCGTCCTGCGAACCAGTCGGGGCGGGCGCAGAGCGTGGGATCCAGGCGGTCCCTGCCTTGATGTCTCGGGCTGTTGTGACACTGGCCTTGTTGTCGCGTGCAACATGTCCCCCCGACGTGCCCTCCCCCTTGGCAGCGGCCTCCCGGTCATCAGTACGATCAGCGTTGGTATCTGGCGAGCTCGAGGGGGGTGCTGCTTCTGTTGCGGTGGGCGTGGCTGGACCGGATACCGTGAGAGCACGTCTGCCTCCGCTGCTGTAGGGATGTTCGACTGGAGGGTCGGTGGTTAGCCCTGGCCAAGGAACATGAAGCCTTCCATCGAAGCCCAATATGTTGGATACACTCACCTCCAGCCGTGGACTTGGGCGAGCCTTGCGCATTCGCGGCCAACCTCGCCCCATCTTGCTTGTCAGAACGGCGGCCGGTCAAACCACGTCCGTATGTCTTGGTCACGCGAGCGACGCGGCGGCGAGCTTGGACGACAGGGAAGTCGTGTGTATCGGGCGGCGAGGTGGGAGTTGCTTCTGCGAGGGGGGCCGCGCGATCGCGGTTCGCCTTGGTACTCGAACGTGTGCGAGGAGCCATCTTCTATTCTAGCTGGCTGGGCGAGGTTGATGGGTACTGAAAGACCGGCGAGAGTTAGCGACGAGCTATAAAAACAAAGGGATAATAAGGCAGAAGGGAGTGGCTAACCGGCGACTGGATTACGATGATGATGGAGCAGGAAGGTGAAAAGGTAGAGAAGTTGGGGCGGAGGAGGCAAAGTTGTAGCAAGGAGGGTCCGCCGGGAGAGGAGCTGGCGTAGTCAGATAGCCGTATCTCGCTGCCGCAGAGGGGTGCACGGTGAGAAGCTGGTGAAGCGCGGCTGAGAGTTCTCCAATCAAGCACAGGCTGCGCGGCGGGCCATGATCGTAAGTCTGTGAGCCCGTCCAGTCGGTCGAGGTGTGCGGCTGCTTCTGAGGACGAAGCTGCTGGACATTTACTCGTCGCAGGGCTGCTCGGAGGGGAGGATCGAGCCAGGGCTCACGAGGATATTGGTGAGGGTGTGAGCTGGGCAGAGGTGAGGACGGGCGCCTGGGGCAGATACACGCGTTCCTTCCAAACAACAACGCCGCCCTCACAACTCGCGCTCCCTGCGGCACTTGACAGCTGAGGTATGCCTTCCCCTCCAAGCTACGCCCTTGGGCGGGTGGAATACCTTGCGGGGAGGATGCTTCGCCTGCCGAACATGGAACGTGGGACCAAGATGTGTGCGCCGATGACAAGCTGTGGTCTCTTGACCAGGTACTCTTAGCTATCTAGCCGACTAAAACAACCAATGCCCCTTCCGCCAATCAGTGAGGTTCTTCCAGCTTGGTTTACACAATCGTCGTCCATTCGAGAGCTTACAGCGTGAACATGTAAAGCCCTCATACCAATCCCGGCGTATGCGTATGCCTGGTGAGCCCGTCCATCAACAACCGCTAGCATCCTCCTTGAGGGACGACATGAGCTCGTCCACAAGATCCTGGGACCTGTCTGACAGTCCAGAGACGATACTAATAGCATCGAAGAGCTTGCTAGCAGCAACGCCCGCCTCCTTGCGTGCGGCGGCCTCGCGGGCGGCCTCGCGGCTCTCGAAGATTTGGTCGATGGCTATGCGGATTATGGCAGCCTCCTGCAACAGGTTAGCGAGTGCTTGGCCGACCATCGGACCTGGCGCCAGTATAGAATGTGAAAACGTACCGCTGTTCTGCCTTCCTTGTCGGCGGCCATTGCAGCGTTGTCCACATGACGCAGGGTCGGGTCGCTACCGAGTCTTGTCAGAGAAGCTCTTGCTGTCAGAGAAGTACAGGGGACTTACGGCTTTTCGCACGCCTCATGGTCGGGATGTACGACGAATTCGCGTTTGAGGACTTTGGCAAACGCGGCCACTGCGCAATCCTTGGGTTCGTGGGGTCGAATGTTCCTCAGGCGGCGGGAGGCTGGCTGAGGTTCCGGCGAGAAAGTACAGTCCTTCATGCCGGTGGTGACGGTCTGTGTATCGTCGCCGTAGTTCGAGCAGCCTTTAAAGGATTTCTCGCTGCGTGCGGGTTCAGGAGACCCCTCATCTCCCTCGGGGACGGTTTCGAGGCGTGTGATCATGTCGTCCTTGTCGTCAAGAAGGTCGGCCACGCTGACCGCGTTCTTGCCAAAGGTGTCGTCGGAAAATTGGAGTGGTTATCCTTTTTCCTCCTTGTTGTACGGAGCTGCCAAGTATATGGGCCGTGATAGACCTGGCTTCTAAGGTCAGAGAAGCAGGTTTGGATCAACTGACCCAAATGACGGTCGTTGGCCATCTAACTCTTAGCCAGGCCATACAGGAAGTTATGGACATCGACAACTGTATCCCAATCCTTGCGCTTCATCTCACTTCTGCCGCCGGGGAGGACCACGTTCTTATAGATCGCCATCGCCCCCTTCACCTGCAGCTTAGGCGGCCCTCCTCACCGCCCTCAGCTTCTGGCAGGAAACCACCTTCCGCCTCCTGCTGCCGGCCCTCTTCGTGCTTTCCACAACCCCCAAACCAGACCAAGCTCCAAGCACATGCTCATCCCTACGGCTCTCTTCACCCTCTTCTCTCATCCACCCAGGCGGTACGTAACGCGCTTCATTGACAGAACATCTCGGTCCATTTCCTCGCTAATCTCTGCCGGTGCCGCACGGTCATGATCTCACCGCGCCAGGTTTTGCACTCTCCTGGCGAAGAAACTCACCTTGCGCTGCACAAACCTGTCGTACCCCGTTATCCCGAACCACCTTGTGAAGCCAGAATCTAGCGTGGTGCTAACCATCTCACTCCTGCAGAAGCCTTCCACGCCGAGAACCCCGAACCATGGCGCATCAAAGGCAGGACCAGGCCCACGGCCTGGGCAAGCCCATTGCCTACTCATCCATCAGCCGAGACTGTCTGAGCGAGTCGCTACAAACCCCCTTCGGGGGCCAGGACCTCGAGGTCTGGGACCCCGACAAAGATATGAGACTACCAGGGTATCGATACCTATCTCCCCCAGGGAACCGAAAAGTTGGTCGTCGCCAGATGGACTCTTCATGCCCGTAGAGGAGCCATTCATCGACTGCAGTGTGGAGAAATGCTTTCAAGTCCAGCCGCCCCTCGTCCCCCGTCCGTATCAAGTAGTCCGCATGCGACGCATCCTCAACCGGGCCGCGACCTCTATCTTTTTCACTCCCTTGTTCTTCTACCAAGACTTCTTCCTCCTTATTCCATCTCGGAATATAATCTTCATCATATTTCAAGACATAGGTTTTTGTATGCTGGTTGCGAAGGACCAGACTGTCTTCTCATTCTGATCTTCGGGTCGAGTCTGCTCGCGGGGGGGAACAGGGTTGGGGGATGGAGGAGGGAGGTGGGCGTTCGCGATGTCGGCTCGGCTCCACAGTCCGGCAGGAGGAACTGTGACGAGGCTGCGTGGTCATGCCCAACAACCACAGTCCGATCCCGTGCGTTTGGGGTTTGTTTGGGTCATCCTGCATTTGATCAATTGAATGAGGCCGTCCAGGTCTCTGTACGAGCCAGCTTGGCCGTGAGACGGTCAGTCAAAAGGTCGCGATTTGGAGAAGAACGCGATTGGAAGGGGCAGGAAGTGTCGAACTTGAAGACTGACTTGACTGGCGGCCAGCCCACACTCGCACCTCTCTGCCCACAGGGACCCTACTCACCGGGAAACTCCAGTCCACACACTGCGAAGCCATGAAATCAACTGTTGAATCCACCTTTCGACCGAGGGCTCCAACTCCTGGCTGGTGAGTTGATGAGGTAGAGCCTCAATGCATCAGATCCATACTTTTCCATGACAATAGATGGGTCGGGGTAATTTTTGAGACGCTTCGACATCTTCTTTCCATCTTCGGCAAGAACGATACCGTTCACAACACAGTTCTTGAAGGGGGAGACGCCGAACAGCTTGGTTCCCAATACCACAAGAGTATAGAACCATCCTCTGGTCTGGTCAAGACCCTCAGCGATGAAGTCTCCAGGGAAACTCTTCTCGAATTTCTCAACATTCTCAAATGGATAGTGTTGGCTGGCAAATGGCATGCTACCTGACTCAAACCAGCAGTCAAACACTTGCTCAACACGTTTCAAGACTCCCTTGCCCTGCTTGCTGGGGATGGTGATGTGATCGATCTTATCCCGGTGGAGATCGTTGATCTCGCCCTCGAAGCCGCTAAGCTCCTTGAGCTCCTGGATGCTGCCGACACATACACGCTCTTCCAAGTCATCACTGACCCACAGAGGAATCGGGGTTCCCCAGTACCGGTTTCGACCAACGTTCCAGTCACGAGCATTAGCGATCCAGCTTGCGAATCTACGTTCCTTCACAAAAGAAGGAACCCAGTGAGTACCATCAATATTCTTTAACATGTCGGGGATGCTCTCTGGCACTCGAATGAACCATGATGGAAGGGCCCTGTAAATAAGCGGCGTATCGGATCGGGGGCACATGGGGTATGAATGACGGAGTTGCGACTCGGCAGCCAGTCGTCCGGCATTCTTCAGGTGCTTGATAATGTGCTTGTCGGCCTCCTTCACATGCATTCCCTCAAAGTCGCGAACGCGCGACAAGAAGTGGCCCGTATCGTCCAGGGGGTCGGGAGCAGGGCGCTTTTCGGTAACGATACCGGCTTCAACAGCAACGCTGTAATCGTCTTCACCGAAAGCAGGGGCCTGGTGAACAATTCCCGTACCGCTGTCGTCGGTTACGTAGGTAGCATTGAGAACCTTGAATGCAACATCCTTGTAATCCTCGTAGAAGTAGTCGAACGGCGGGAGGTACTTCCAGCCAAGCATATCCTTGCCGAGAATCTTGCCAATAATGGTATACTTAGCCTTCTTGGGGTCCTTGTACAGAGTGCTGAGGAGCTTTTCTAGAATGATGTACGTCTTTCCAGTCTTTTCATCCTTCACCTTGGCGTACTCGAAGTCGGGGTGCGCGGCCAGCCCGAGGTGGGAAGGAAGGGTCCATGGTGTCGTCGTCCACGCGAGGAGGCTGGTTTCAGGGTCGTCAACCAGGGGGAACGAAACAACAACTGCAGGGTCGTTGACATCTTGATAATTCTGGTTGGCCTCGAAGTTGCTCAGAGCCGTTGTCAAGACAGTTGAGTAGGGCATAACACGGTAGCCCTGGTAGACCTGATCTTTCTCGAAGAGCTGCTTGAAAGCCCACCATTCAGACTCCATGAATCTTGGGTCCATGGTCTAGAGTATTGTCAGCTACCCCATCCGCGAAAAAATGACACCACCACGAAGCATGTGATGCTCACCTTGTAGTCATTGTCAAAATCGATCCAACGTCCCAGTCGCTCAATGGTTGTCCGCCACTCAGACGCATAGCGCATGACAATAGCGCGGCATTCCTCGTTATACTTTGCGATGCCAATCTTCATAACAGCCTCCTTCCCCGAAATCCCGAGCTTCTTATCAATCTCATGCTCAATAGGAAGACCGTGAGTATCCCATCCAAATCATCGCTCAACATGGTAGCCTTTCATGGACCAGTAACGAGGGATAACATCCTTGATTGTTGAAGCAAGCAAATGACCGTAGTGAGGCAGACCAGTTGCAAATGGAGGTCCATCGTAGAAGGTGTAATAGGGTCGGCCCTCGGACATCTCAACCTACATGGGAGGCGGCAAGAGTCAGATTCCATTGCCCACTATGCAGGAGTAATAAGCCATTGGGGAAAAGGCCTACCTGGCATTTGAAAGCATCAATCTCCCTCCATCTCTCAATAATGGCCCTCTCCTCGGCGGGAAAGTCAATAGACATGGTGGCAGATTCCGTTAAGCGCAAGTCCACGAGGATTTACTGGGGTGCAAGCGATGCCTCGCTAAAGCCGCCGGTGGCGTC